GGGGGGATTGGGAGGGGTGGGCGGAGAAGAGACAGGTAATAGACAAGGGGACTAATAAACAGAAAGAGGGGGAGCAGATAACCAGAAAAGCATTTATTACCTGTTGCTGTAAGCGAAAGCATGAATAACACGTTGACCATAGACACAATTTAACAATCAACGTTTATATTGTATAAGGGTGGAAAAACAGACACAGTTTGATATCTAAACACCTGCACTCACATACTGCTCAGGCATAAAGATTTAAAAGCTTTTAGAAAGAGTTGCAGGGGATAAATTTATAAAAGATGATTATCTTTCCCCAAAATTAAACAATCATATAGAGGAAAAGGATATCCACCGCAATTCTCTCTGTTGGTTCCAATACATACACTCCACTGGCGATGTAAAATTGTAGTTTCCAGTAAGAAATAAAATCCAAAATACTCTGCATCTTGGAAACAGCCATTTTCTTTAATCAAAATAATAACTCGGAGTTTCACGTTATCCGCCTTTCTCGGCTTGCCAGTCCTTGGCGGTATGTGAATTCTTTTTAGTGGCAAGTTATTTTGTATGAACACCGATGGAAATCTGCTTGCAGCCTAAACAATAATCTACATACATTTGCGAAAGGGTTCATGCCTTTTAAAAGATTTTTAAATATACATACAAAATATAAATACACTTATTTATAATAAAGTGTTTATTATTCCTTCTTTTTTTAGAGGTAATAGCCATATACAATTATTGTATTCATTGTTAGATTTGTAAGCTATACTGCGCATGCGCTTTTTATTGTAATACTTGGTTCCGTTTTCGCGCTGAGAGGGGCTTTCTGTGCGAAGTGCGAAAGCAAGAAGCTCACGACGATCGAACTCCACACGTTGACGTTCTTTCACTTTCATGTGTTGTTTGTAGTACTATCTATGACTATTTCAGTCGTGTGATATTCTTCCCCTGGTCTGATGTGTAAGTATATATAAATCTCTTACGCTAAAATGAGTGTCCGTTTATATGGACCCTATTAGATCCTATGACTATGAGATCGAGGATTCTACGGCGATTTTGTTGTTTCGTTCGTTAAAGTCAAGAGTAGGGGGGTTTCAGAGGGGGCTTGCCCCCCTGACCTAATAAAAATATGGAGGTGGGGGGGTTCAGGGGGGGCATGCCCCCCTGAATTTTATCCTAATTTGATGTTTTGCAGTTAGGTTGCATCCCTGCTCTTTGTGTAGCCTAATTCAAATCGAAGTGGCTACGACAGGCTACGTACTTAGTTAAAAAACTTAGATAAAAAAAGTTAGATCTAAGTTTGGCCCTATCGATGCCTGTTAACTCTTATCCTGCATCTGTGCCCAGATGCGTATCTTATCAGCAACCAATTACGTCGGACGTGCCGGGCAGGCCGCCGGGGTCACTCAGTGTGTACTGTTCAACCTGTTGGTGTACAGCGCGCGCGCCGGGAAACGTGTGTTTTCGCCATGAATACCGCGGGAATGTGTTAACCAATGATGAAAATAACGCTCTATCCTTCATAGCTTTCTATTTATAAAGTGTTGAGCATTTGCCAAAAGGTGGGATACCTGGGTGTGACAAATGAGGTCCAAAATCAACTTTATGTAATAATTCTTTAATCACCCATATTATATATAGCCTAATGATTGCTCTTTCAGGCTCAGTAACTGCCAAAGCTGTATATGCAATGGTCTTGGTGTAATTTTGACTTGAATGACGGAAATAGCAAAAAGTTTGTTCATAACAATGATGACACAAATTAATGAATACTCAAAGTTCCTTTCTTCAGCTAGGCTGATGTTATATTTTGAGACGGAAGTGGCTATTCTCATCCGGGGTGAGAATAGAAATAATACGATCGACCTCTCACCCCGGATGAGACTTGCGACCGTAGGCTATTCTCACCCGGTTTGAAACAAGACCTGTTTTTCCTAATTTCGGAATACTTTCTATTGATGTAGATGATCAAATTAATAAAAGCCAAGAAAAAATTACGTTATAGCACAAAAGTAAGCTAATTTGATCGTCTTCAAAGAGGCTATGGCCCGGCTATTTCACTGTTCGAATCGAGCCGAACTACTACGCGGGTCGCCATTTTGTTTTGCCCGGAAGTTCTCGCAAGATCTACTCCTCCCCTCTCTCTCTGTCTCTTTCTGAATACTGTCTATCGTTGTGGACGATCAAATTGACCAAAACAAAGTTAAAAAATGATGTAAAAACACAAAAGTAAATTAATTTGGTTGTCTACAAAAATGCTACGGCTATTTAACTTTACGAATCGAGCCGAACTACGCGGGTCGCCATTTTGTTTTGACCGGAAGTTCTCGCGCTACTCCTCTCTCTCTCTTTCTCTCTCTCTCTCTCCACTGCCCACAGACAAAATTGTACGCTTTTAGTAGGCTACAGTTGTAATGGAACGTTTGTTATCACAGTGTAGAATTCTGTGGTTTAGGGTGAACGCAAAATTTGTTGGCCTAGATCTAGGCTATAACGGTGAACGCGCACCGGGTGAGAATAGCCAAAAGACTCGCCTGCACTATTCTCACCCCGGGTGAGAATAGAGGTGGCCTTTTGAGACATAGCAAATAACTTCCAAAAAAACATAGAATTGACAATTTATAAACGAAGTGGCTAGCCGTCCTTAAGTACGGCTAGCCTGGCAGTCTACCCGTACTTAAGTACGGCTAGACAAGAAGTCTAGCCGTACTTATCTTAGGCCCTATTTACATTAGAAAACAGGAGGTTTAAAATACATGCACTGTCATTAAGGAACCTGGTTTTGTCTCAAATACAAATAATTTAGGTACTGCACACTAAAAATGTATATTTACAATTCAGTAGGCCTATTTTTTGTAAATGGTCAGTCTAGCCATCATATAATTAAGAATAAGTACGGCTAGACTCACAGTCTAGCCGTACTTAAGTACGGCTAGACTGCCAGTCTAGCCGTCATTAAGTACGGCTAGCCTCTTCCATTTATAAAAATCTTTATTAATTTTGGATAAAATTACTTTTTTGTGTCATAATAGTTATGAACGAACAATAAGTGACCAAAATACTATCAATTATATCAAGTTTCATCGACTAGAATTGTCTAAAATAAGACTCTGGTCTAATTATAGTCAAGTGATAAATGAAAGACCTTTGAACAGCTATTTTTAAACGCAAACTGGTCTTAGGGCATATTATGCATAAATTTAAAGTTCGTTCATAACCATTATGACACACTGTTTTGTTCATATAAACCTATTATTTATGACAAATTTTACTTTTGGCCCCTAAAATTTACTTATATTGTTCTGTCTTTCACATAAAACGGTTTTCATTTATGAGGCTTTCCTTAAAATATGATAGATTCCTCTATGTAGGGAGAATTCAAAGTTTATTTCCTGAAAAACCCATAGAATATCTTTAAAATGGTTTGTTCATAACAATTATGACAAACTTCAATTTTGACCTAAAAATTTACTCATTTTGATCTGTCATTCATTTTTTAAAACTTTTATTAAATGAAACTCTCCTCATAATATGTATCTCTGTACATGTTTTTAAAGTTTGTTAACACTGAAAAGCCCTCAAAATATATAAAATGGACTATAAATAGTTCGTTCATAACCATTACTACAAAAGTATAATACTAATTAAAATCCACACCCATACACTAATGATAAAAATCAAAATATCAGAATGTATGCAAGGTTTATTCTGTCCTTTAGTTGGGTTAAAATTAAAAATGCATCCCAAAACAACTAAATTACATGGAATAAGGTTTCGTTCATAACTATTATGACAAATTTTACTTTGGGCCCAAAAAATTAACTTATTGTTCTGTCATTCACATAAAATTGTTTTAATTTATGAGACTCTCCTCAAAATAAGGTTATATGTTGGAAGAATTCAAAGTTTAATCACTGAAAAACCCTTAGAATACCTTTAATTGTTCGTTCATAACTATTATGACAAACTTCAGTTTTGACCTAAAAATTAAGGCTGATGATAGGAGACCGTACGCCCCAATAGTGCTTGGCGCTAGGGGACCGTACGCCCCAATAGTGCTTGGCGCTATGGGACCGTACGCCCTACCTGCGCTAAGCTGTCCCCGTGGTTTTATGCACCCCGCATAATTTAGCAAAATTTGATCGTTTTTTGCATAATTTTCTGATTATTTTTCTTTTTCATTCTTTGTTGAAATTAACAGAATCGCATAATTTCTCATTTTTGGGTTCAGTTTGCATAATTTCAGAATTTTGTTTTGTTCATAAAACCGCGGGGACAGGCTAAGGCTTGGTGTTAAGCGACCGTACGCAGATGTGCATGCATCTGGACTTTGCAAAAATACTACTAGAGGAAAACGGCCAGTTTAACGAAACTCATAACGTTAGGAGGAATACTAGCAGAGTGTTTAATTAAAATGTCTGAATACGATTGTGGGGTATCCAGTGGCGGTGGGCGAACCAGAATTTGAAATTTTCACTCGTCTGCACCCACGTTGTTGTTAAGTGTCAATCAAAAACATCAGAGAGAGAGAAAGAGAGAGAGACAGCTACATAGAGAAAGAGAGAGAGTGTGTGTGTGAAAAACAGACAGAAAGGAAGAGAGAAAGAAAGTAAGTAAGAAAGAGGGAGAGAGAAAGTGTGTGTGTGTGTGTGAGCGCGTGTGTGTGTGTGAGTGTGTAAGAGAGGGGGAGAGACAGAGAGAGAGGGTGTGTGTGTATGTGTGTGTGTGAAAAACAGACAGAAAGGGAGAGAGAAAGAAAGAAAGAAAGCAGGTAAGTAAGAAAGATGGGAGAGAGAGAGACAAAGTGTGTGTGTGTGAGAGAGAGAGAGAGATGGTGTGTGTGTGTGTGTGGAAGAACAGAAAGAAAGTAAGAAAGAGGGAGAGAGAGAGAATTTGACAAAGTGAGTGTGTGTGTGTGTGTGTGTGAGAGAGAGAGAGAGGGGGGGGGGGTGTGTGTGCGTGTGTATGTGACAGAGAGAGAGAGAAAGAGAGGGGTGTGTGTGCGTGTGTGAAAAACAGACAAAGGGAGTGAGAAAGAAAGTAAGAAAGGGCAGGAGAGAGAGAGAGGGAAATTTACTCATTTCTTCATGCAGAACACGCCGGTGGGCACACACTTAGTCTTGATTGCGCGCAAGACGCAAGATCAATTACTTACATTCAGTGACAATAACAATAACAAGAAAAGAAAGTGTTGCTATACTATGGATTTAATTTGTACTGTGAGAGAGAGCCCACTCTCTGCTCTAAATGCATATGGATATCACATCACTCCGAAAAAAAAGGGGCTCTTGTGGCCTAGAGTTGAAGGTGTCGGCATTCCATTCAAAGGTCTCTGGTTAGATTCCGGGTAGCGACCGAAAACTCTCTCTCTCTCTCTCTCTCTCACTCTCACTCTCTCTCTCCTTCTCTCTCTTTCTCTTTGATGTCTTTTATTGACACTTAACAACAACAACGTGAGAAAAATTCAAATTTTGGCACACCCATTGCCACTGTATACGATACCCCACAATCGTATTCAGACATTTTAAACATTCTTTGTAAGAACTCCTAACGCCAGGAGCTTCGTTAAACTGGCCGTTTTCCTCCAGTTTTTTTGCAAAGTCCAGATGCATGCACATCTGCGTACGGTCCCTTAACACTTAGCCTTAGCGCAGGTGGGGCGTACGGTCCCCTAGCGCCAAACACTATTGGGGCGTACGGTCCCCTAACAATAGCCAAAAATTAATATTTTGACCTGTCATTTACTTTAAAGTTTTATATTAAATGAAAGTTTCCTCATAATATGTATCTGTGTACATGTTTTTAATGTTTATCAACTATGGAAAGCCCTCAGAGTACAATATGTAGTTCGTTCATAACCATTACTACAAAAGTAAAATACTAATTAAAATCCAGACTCATACACTTATGATAAAAATCAAAATATCAGAATGTAAGCAAGGTCTAATACATCCTCAAGT